CGATAGCATTCCTGGGTATTATTTTGAAACTGTTGCGGGCGAGGGCGAGAAGATTACCTTTCGCTTGATATAAATCTTCAGCTGATAAGATGTGACACAGTACTGAGAATCGCTGATGCTGTCCTCTGTCTGATATGCGTAGAAAAGAAAGAGACAGCGAATGGGATAACACGAGAATCGCAAAGACCAATTTTTCATGTTTCTTAAACTCTTTAATCTTCTAATGAAGAAGAAAGGGACAGATTTCTGATAAAAATAGCAAAAAGCTTAACATTTTAAGTTGAACAAATTATTTATTTTTAAAAAAATTGAAAATGGTTTTGAATTGAAAAAATGGAGCATAACTTTTTCGAAACTGGAGACCGGAGATGAAGTCCAAAAACCGGAGTCTCCGGTCTAAACCGGAGAGGTGGGCAACCTAGCAAATTGACTTTTGACGTTAGGTAACACTACAACAATGAGTGCTTGGTATACTAACAAACAAATGAGTGCTTTATACAACAGCTATAAAGCTCAAATTGACTTCTACGTTTTAGTTAGAAAACGTTTGTATGGGAAAAGAAAGAGCTGTCTTTTTAGTTTTTTTCGGCACATTATTCGCAATTTTTTCTGACGTTAAAACCATCTTGAACTCAACGAACATTTTAAAAAAAGAATTGCCAAATTGTTTCAGCGAGCGTTGTTGAGTTATGCGCTTACAACACATTTTGCGACTTCATTTTTTATATTATAGTAACCTGTGGAGTACGTATTTGCTATGCAATTATCTTCGATTGTAAATACTAGCCCTCTTTTACTACTTACATACATGAATAATATCACTCTTTATATTAGGAGGCGGAGTTTTGATGACCTAAAACAAGTCGCCCAAAAATGATCATAAAATGTATAATGCCTAAAACCAGAGATAAATACTTAAAAATGTATCAAAACAAGAATTCGGATGAACACGCAACCTTCTGGAAACGTTACAAATGTAATTGAGGTTTCTTCGCATTGGTTGAAAGTGAACTCTAGATGGCAAACTTTTTGGTTTTGGACTATTTTTTACAATTCTTTACCAGGAAGTCTCTATCTTTAGTTATATCGAAATCGGGCGATCCGACAATGGCGCTGATAGACTCACAGGAGCCTTAGATTACATTTAAAGGCTGCCGTTACAATTTATGAGAGAAGAAATGGAATAGGCTTACTCGGGAATTATGTGCAGAACATTTTTTGCATCTCTTAAATATTATTTGAAGTAAGTACTATTAAAATAATAAAATCGATGAAACCAGCTAAAAATAAATTAAAAATATTTAGTCGAAACAGATTAAAAATGCAAGAAAAATAATGACGTATAAAAATGGGGTCATTTTCTTTCGCCATAACATAAAATATAATAACAAACGGCATTGTTTTATGGTTAAAATGAAAAAAAAATTGACATTTCATTACGCCCTGCTCACTGCTGGTATTTGCAGCACAGGAAAGCAAGGATGTCTTTGTGATGTGCTATTAATTTTCAAACTTTTTGGAAAAACATTCGCAACGCTTACGTTAGTTTTGTGTAATTTGTGTTATAATTCTGACAGAAAATTTGTTTGCAACTTTAAAATTAAACATAATTTGTTTTACAGCTTTAAAACAAACATTTTTTTCGCGTATTTACTAAATTGTTTGAGTTATTAGGTAGAATTGTTTACTTTTTATTTTTTTAAATTTATTCCTTGAGGTGGTTAGAGCGAGGTTAGAGTTATGTTAAACATGCATTTGTATCGTCTTAATCTAAAGGTGGGAGATTCTTCTATGTAGTTAGAATTAGAATCGCTTCTACTGTCTAGTTTTCTCGTAACGAGGCCGTAATGTTTGTTGTATTAACATGAGTTTTTAAGGTGGCCTGAGACATCTTACCTGAAATTTTAAAATTGTTAGAAAATGGACTGATGAACAAATATTTAAAAACTTTTCTTTAGGTAGCAAAATCTCGAAGCATCAATATACGCAATTTGAAGGACATCAACCGTTTTAAATGGAAGAATTTAGCAACAATATAAACCTAAATCAGCCCAAAGGGAGATGTTTGCGTGTTTTCTAGGCGTCGGGACTGTGACGCGCATCTCGGCAACACCGCGCGCAACGCGCTTCATTCAAATCTAGTAGCAACACTGTAAGAGTTCGTACATTTCTCTGGATCTTCTGGCAGTAATTATAATATCCTCACTCCTGGAGAACATTGCGTTTGATAGTACCCAGATATTCAGAAAATCTCATTAGTGCAATCTGAATGAAAATCTTAATTCAATTAATATTTCCAATTACTGACTTTGATACTACTCGAGTGATCTTAAGAGTTAGAGAATTTTTAAACAGTTAGTACAGAATTATTATTTTGTTGTGTTCCGTATGTCAGTTTTTTGCTCCTGAACAATGGTTCAATTATTCGAAAATTATTCATGTTCTCTTTTTATTATGGTGATACACAGTGGATTGTCATTGCCTTCTGCAGCACTGTTGCTTACATCGGACTCAAAGCAGCAACCTTTAGCATAGATCATCACCTCAATCAATAAAGCTACTGAGTGGGCATTCATTTCAGAAAGATATGAGTCTTTGCAGTGGTTTCAATGTGGGCAATGATAAAATACTGCTTTGCTGGTGTTAATATCAACCATTTAAGGTATAGGTAAATGCAGAGATGAATTCCTTACTAGCAAGATAAGAAGGCTTGAGACTCCCACCCCCGTGCCCGGATTTTTTAAAATAAATATTAAAAACTTCATAAAATGTTTTATCTTAATAATCTTCAATCAAATAGTTTGATTGGACTACAATGTTTGCTTTTCAAAACAATAAGAAACCAAACATGTAGTTGTAAATGAGACATTTAAAAAGCAATTTCCACTGTGCAAGCAATTTATTAATTTACATCTGTTTTGGAAAAATTAAGTGTTTATTAGTATTAGTGTTTTTAGATTTATGCATAATTAGTTTTTTAGTTTTAAAGATTTTTCTGAAGGAGTGCCCAGTACAGTTTTGTGCCTGAAGGCCTACTGTATCTTAATCCATCCATGGACAAATTTAATAATTACATTTTATTGAAATTGTAAGAGGAATGATATATTCAAACATTGGTAGTTTTAGTATTTTAATAGAAACCTCTTTTATCTTCAGCTCTATATTTTATCTAGTAGTTGGCTATTCCTGAACAGTAGTAATGCATTCTGAATGGTTCTCATGTCTTATTTTCAAAACATTTACATCTCTTTTCATTTTGAGTTCAGCATCAAAACAAACTATTACAAAAGGACATGCTACTTGGAAATCTCTTTTGAAGATTTTATCTAAAACAATGCTAGAATTTTATTATTCAAGGTCGTAATATTAAAGCTTTCAAAATAATATGATGCAGTAATTTTTACTTCATGGGCTTTAATTTGATATGAGCTTAACACAACAATATGCATCTAAATCAATATCATAACAGTACATAAAATTATACTGAAAGCAAGCAAATAATTTCTATAAACTACCTAATAGTACCGTTGGAAATAATATGGCACATTTATATAGCAAAAATAGTTTTAACATTTCTATTAAAACATAAAAACAGTGTCAGTACTTCTTGTGATGTTTTTATCAGTAGTTCTTGTGATGTTTTCGGAATTATTTAGTTATCTTCCAAATTCTGCTTTGGAAATAAATTGCCAATTCACTCAGATTGTGATATTTACCGCGTGTCGATCACGCTACGAACAGTATTCAAAATGATTCAAAACAACTGAACTTTGAAGAAGCCTGAGCCCTGAACAGACATTATCTCAAGGATATTACGGCGTTGCCAATTTACCAAAGACTTTCCCCCCTCTCGAAAATGGAAACTATTTGTTCGCTAAAGTGATCGCTAAATAGATGTGGCTTTATTGTTACTTTTAAAGATTTTTTCTTGTACTAATTGTGTAATGGGGTTTTTTTACGTTCAATCTTATACTTCAGTTTTTCATTCCAAGGTGACGCGATCTGTTGGTACTAACAAGTACCTAGTCAAAGATAGCTCTTTATGTATATGAAAATATTTTTATTTTACATCTATAAAACAAAATTAATTCAATTAACTAAATGAAACTCAGCATAAAAGTCCCTATTTTGTTTATGTAGGTCTCACATACCCACTTATCTCGCAAATAAATATTTTGAGCATAATAAGGATTCTCTATATACTAGGGAATATATTGCTCTAACCACTTTAAGCCGACAGCTTAAATAATTTGGAGCTTTGTGTAGTGTTGTACGTAACATTTATAGAAAGTTTCAAAACAGGATGCTAGTAGAATTCTAAGGAATAAGTGGTGCAACTCCCGCCGGCATATTAAAATGGCTGCATCTTCTTTAATGTTATGGAACAATCAAAAATTCAGGTGGAACTATTCGGTACAAACAGTTTACAATGTTCCAATTCGTTTACGATGGTGACGTGCCAGTGTGAAGTTAGCACAACCACAATAGAGTGTGCTGTATCTTGTAAGTGATTTTGCAACAAACAAATGTTTCAGTGGTACTAAAGAGTACAAGCCAGGCACAAACGAGTGGCAATAGTTTCAGTGGTGTTTGGTGTGGCGGCGGTGCCAACTTTACGGACATATTGTTAGGTTTGTCACGCATTGATGAAAGAGGCAGGACCGCTCTTCCTTTTCTTTGGTTCAAAAGAAACAAGAGGAAAATTATTCTGGAATTCAAAAACAGAGAATTCTACTTGAAATTTTTTGTTAGGTTGAAAGTCCGGAGGTGTTCCTTTTTTGTTTTTGTTCTGTTCCTTCTGATGTCAAACCAATGTATAATAACCGTTACTGTTATCTGTACAGCCCAGAAGTGTGGCAAAATACCCTTCATTATTAATATTGTTACGATTTGTCCCTCAGAGTTTGTCAATTTCAGTGAAATGTGGTCTACCGGATGTTGCACGTGAAAATTACAAGAACAAAAATATGTCAAGAACAATTATATTAAAAATAATTATAGGCCACACATTTTCCAGGATTCTGTATAATCCCTTCTGTTGAGAGAATGTCTGCGGCGCATCAGTCCTCGTGAGAGGCGGCAACGCCGAAGGATCCACACAGCCGGCGCTCGTGGCGAGTCACGTGGCCCCTCCTGCCAGCCAAGCGCTGGAGCTGCCGGGTTCCCGACTCGCAGCTCGGCGGCAGTGGGCAGGGGACGGACAGAGTAAATTAGACGCGCGCGCTCCTGCAAGACTTCCACGTTTGGTGGTGAGTGTACGCATGCAAAATGGATCATTCCATCCAAAACTTTAGGATTTTGAAGGGAAGCTTCTTGAGTGTTTTTCTTGTTTCAGTTTGATTAACATAGTAATAGGTAGTTACAAGGCAACTTTTAAGACTCCTAGCTTGAAAGGATCGGCTACAACAATGAGAAAAAATATTCAAGTACTGCTATCACAAGACTTTCAAAAATATTTCATTATTAATACACCTTTCTTTGTAATTTAACAAACGAAAACCATTTTAAAGTTGATACGTTGAAATGGAGCAAAATTAATCTAAATTATTGTTAATAATAATAGCAAAAATTCATGCAAAGTTACAACAAATATTAATAATGAAAAATGCAGTTTTGACTGAAATGAATTTTTCCCTACATAAAGATCATTTAATGATTTATTCGTGGTTCAAATTGCATCGCGGGGCTACCTCAAGTTTTTATGTAATAATTTATATCCGCGTTGTTTGCCTTTAAGGTGGTTACAGCAAGATAAGTGTCAAGTTTAACACGCCTTTTTTATAGTATTAATCGAAAGATCCGAGGTTCTTCTATGTTCTGTTAAATTTTGAATTGATTTTACCGTCTAGTTTTCGGGTAAGGAGACTAAAGTTTGCTGTTTTAACATGGGCTCTAATGGTGACCTGACAGATTGACCTGAAATTTTAAAATTGTGAGGAAATTAACTGTTAAACACGTTTTTAACAACGCTTCTTTTTGTAGGTAGCATCTTGAAGAATCAATATGCGCAATTTGAAGGAAATCTACCGTTTCAAATACGAGAATTTTGCAAAATTATAAGCCAAAATCAGTCCAAAGGGAGACGTTCGCGCGCTTTCTAGGGGTCGGGACAGCGACGCGCATCTCGGCAACACCGCGCGCGCAACGTTCTTCATTCAAATCGAGTGACGGTTCGTGCATTCCTCTAGATCTTCTCGGAGCAATTAAAATACCCTCACACCTGGAGAACATTGCGTTTGATGGTAACCAGATATTCAGAAAAGCTGGAATTTTTTGGGTATAATGGTTAGTGCAATCTGAATGGAAATCTTAATTCAATTAATATTCCCAATGACTCACTTTGATACTATTCCCTACGAGAAAATGGGTGAATTTGAAAAGTAATAGAATTTTTTAAACATTCAGTACAGTTTTATTTTCTATTGTGCCGTATGTCAGTGGTTTTTTTTTGCTCTTGAACAATTAATATTTATTCAATTATTCGAAAATTATTTATAGTCTCTTTTATTATGGAGATACACAGCGAATTGCTATAGTCTTTTCCACCACATTTATTTGCACAGGACACAAAGTAGCGAACTTTAGCACAGATCAGCACCTCAATCTTTTGGGCTACTGAGTGGGCATTCAATTCAGAACGAAATACATTTCTTAATGACTGTAAAGGAGTTGCAATGGTAGAATATTGTTTTGATAGTGTTAATATCAACCATTCAAGGTACATGTGAATGCAAAGCTGGATTTCCTCCTAGCAAAATAAGGTTTGGGACTCCCATCCCCGAGCCCGCATTAATAAAATAAATATTAGAAACTTCATAATTTTTTATCTGAATAATCATTTATCAAAAAGTTAACTGAACGTTTGATTTTAAAAATAAATTGAATGGAGTAACAAGAAACCAAACATAATGAGAACTTTTGAAAGCAATGTCTACTTAGTATGCACCTCGTTAATTTACATTGTTTTGGAACAATGATTTATTCTATCATAATTACGGTTTTTAGATTTATTTATAATTTGATTTTTAGTATTAAAGATTGTTCTGAAGGAGTGCCCAGTATATGTTTTTGCCAGGAAGCCCCCAGTATCTAAATCCGACCATGAGCAAATTTAATAATTACATTTTATTGAAATTGTGAGAAGAATGATATATTTAGCCGTTGGTAGTTTCAGGATTTTAATGGAAACCTCTTTTCTCTACAGCACTATATTTTATCTAATTGTTTGTATTTCCTGGAGAGTAATAATGCATTAAATGGTTCTCATGTTTTACTTTCAAAACTTTTAAACCGCTTTTCATTTTGATTGTAACATCATGACAAACGATTTCAAAAGACTATGCAACTTGTAAATCTCTTTGGCGATTTTATCTCCAACATTGTTACAATTTTATTATTGATGGCTTCGATAACACAGCTCTCAGAATTATACAGTGCAGTAATTTAATTTTATCATCTTTAGTTTGATACGTTATTTTCATAATAACCTGCATATAAATCAATATAACATATAAAATTACACTGAAAACCAACAAATAGTTTCCACGAATTATACAACCGCACCGCAGGAAATAATATGGAACATTGCAATTGTAAACATTGTTGTAAAATTTCAATCAACACTATTGAAAAATTGAAAAATTATGATGCAGTTTATTAAACAAAGCAAAAGTAAAATAGAATACAAAAAAAAAGTGATAAGGTTAATGAGAAGCATATTGAGTCAATGATTACGATGTCTATCAAGTGAAATATAAAGCATTTTACAATGTTGGAGAGAACTAAACTGTTGCTAAGCTATTGAATAATCTGTTTTGGCCGACAATTGTCTAGGGTAATTCAAGGAATAAACATTAGAAAGAAATACATATTGAAAACATTTTTGAAAATTTTTTATTACGTTACTGGTCTCGTATTATAGGGGGAATTATTTCGTTTTTTTCAATTCGGTTTGGGAAATCAGCACTCCGCCAATTCGCTCAGATTGTGATATTTATCGCGTGTCGACCAGGCAACGAACAGTATTCGAAGTGATTCAAAACAACGAAACTTTGAAGAAGCATGAGCCCTGTGCAGTCATGCCAATCTCAAGGGCATTACGGCGTTGCTCAATATACTAGACTTTTCCTTCCATCCAAACATAGAAATTTTTGTCATTATTAGCGATCACTGTTCAAAAACATATAAATGTGTTATAATGTTACATTTTATGATTTGGCTCGTACTAATTGTGTAATAGTGCGCTTTTATGTTCAATCCATTGCTTCATTTTTTTATTCCGTGGCCACTGGCTCTGTTGGTACGAGTTAAGAAACTAGTCAACGGTAGTTTTTATGTGATATTAAAATATTTTTATTTTACATCTATAGAACAATTTTAATTCGCATAATTACATAAAACTCAGCATAAAAGTCTATATTTTGTTGATGTAGGACTCACAATACCAACGTATCCTGCAGTTAAATCTTTTTGAATGTAATATGGGCTCTATCTTCTAGGGAATATCTCGCTCTAACCACCTAAAGGGCAATAATCTCTCGCACATGGAGCTGCTGTGTCCAACACTGGGCCTGAGAGCGGCGGGTGCTTTAGGATCGCTGAAGGTCGGGGACAAGAGAACCCCTCGGGAAGGGCTGACGAGGCGTAAGTCTTTGTTCGTGACACTTTCCTCACTGGCTGAATTTGTGCGAATTTCGTTGCGTTAGGGAGCTTGCTTGAGGGAAATGCTGGTCTTTAGGCGAGTAAGTTATAATCATTTTAGTCCAACTTTGTACTCAATAGTAAAAAAATTGCGCGTTAAAAGCTTTATTTAAAAGCCAAAGTAAATTTAAAAAAAATATAATATTTTTGATGTGTAGCCACCCTTTAGAACTTCAAAAGCATTCCAATCAAGCCAGGAAAAGGAAGCTAACCGAGGAAATGAGATGTTTCGTTTCACAACGAAAGTTGCCCACGAAGAGGAAGCTCAAATGTTACGGAGAGAACACGACGCTTTCATTGTGTTGTTCCAGATAATGAAATTGATTTCCCTGAGACATTTTTCGTCTTCGCCTGAATTTCCCAGACAAGTTGTGATTCCACGCAAATGTCAAGGAGCGTGCAAACTTGATGCGGAATTCCCTCATTCAACGGCGCAACGCACGGCATAAAGTTTGCACTCTTGAGTATTAATTTTTTAACGGTCTTAGTTTTCATGGCCTCGTCTAGAATGTTTCAGGATTGCCTACAAATATTCATTGTTGCTCACATTTTTTTCATGTGAATTAAAACAATGCATTTTGAATTAATACATTAATGTTTTGAGCTTGATTATTAACAGCAAATGTACATTAACATAGGTTTATCTATACTCCAACAAATGGCGTTTTGAATATAAAATTATGTCTTTTAACATAATCAGAAAAAATAAATAGTACGGACGTTAAATGCGAATACATAGAACTTTAATAATTCATTGAGAAGCAAGAATAGGTGATAATTAATTGATTTTTTAGAGAAAACATCTTTACTCTAAAGTGAAACGATTATAAAAAAAACAAATAGTTAATTTTGGGATATCAAGTTTTGATGCAATTTTGTTTTCCGTGGAATGACCCTAAAGAATTAAATGAAGTGTGGTTGAAGAGTTAAAATAGCTACGAAGTGTTATGAAGTGTGTAATAGTATCAAAATTGTTATCTATATTGTTAACTTAATAAGATATTTAAAAGAAAACATAGCAAGTTTCCTGAAGTTTATCTGTTAACAGTGAGTGTAAGTTTTCTAATTGTCGTTCGTATAACGAAAAATTTTAAAACTGATTGTGTCGTTTCTCGTAATTCGAATGGCGATTAAAAGGCATCTGTAATGTTCGCTGATTATTAGATATGTTTAAACATATTAGCAGTTTAAACGTTATATAATATATAATATTGTATAATAAAAATGGTACAAAATAGGGGAACTTCTTAATGGAAATTTGTATAGTCATAGTGCAAGATTATTTCTAATGTCAGCGATAGTCGAAGGCATGAAAGCAGTAACGCTACTGCTGAATAGGCTGGGCAGTGTTCAGAATCGTGTTTGCGTAAGCGTTCACTTATTTTTGCAAGAGAGTTTAAATGCACCCGTAAATGATCTCTCATTACGTAACGTAGAATAACATCTAAAGATTTTTATAAGTTTATGGAATTATTGAAATCAATACGAAAGATATTATAGCAAAAATTGTATTTGAAAGACTTTAAAATCCTTTGGAAATGCATAGAAA